AGCAGATACAATATGGCTTTGGGTATATTATAGTAAGATGCCTACACACCCCAAACCCTACACTCTAAACCCTAAACCCGTAATAATATCCCCATCTACCCCATAGTCTATCTACTGAAGGGGGACTGTAGGTACCCTCTGCTTTTAGAGGAAATGAAACCCCAAACCTCTGAGGCATCCTACACACTGACTTGAAGAAGGTAGGGCTTAGGGTTTAGGGTTTGGGGCTCAGGGCTTAGGGTTTAGGGTTGAGGGCTTAGGGTTTAGGGTTACGGCTTAGGGTTTAGGGTTAGGGCTTAGGGTTAGAGTTTAGGGTTTAGGGCTTAGGGTTTAGGGTTTAGGGTAGGAAATTAGGGCTTGGGATTGGCAGAGCCCAACCCTGTGCGGAAGCCTGGAGATCTTTCTCGTCGCGCTTGTCCTGCGAGTCCTGCGGCTATTTGTAATTTCAAGGGTGTGCTGTAGGAGTTGTGAAGGGGTTCTAGGGATAGATAGGGATATATGTGGACATGTGAGTGCCGGATTAAATCTCTTTCCTAGCGAAGACAGTGGAAAATTAGCAGAAACCGACACTGTAGAGGGAGCTGAAGAAAAAAAACGTTCCCAAGTCACCATACCATGCATATCAACATCGAATGAGCCTTCCCATAATGGTAACATAAATGGAACTCCTTCACATCAGCCCAGTCCTTGTGGTAGCAATGGATGCTGTAGCAGTCCACATATAACCCGCTACAAACAATAGTCCGCATAACCAATTCCTTCGTTCCTGATAACCTCCAGTAAGATTCAGACGTCTCTGCTGCTTCGCCCGGTGATCCTCAAACCCTGGATCCATTCTTCAGAGTCCTTCGAATGGGGAGTACCTGGGGGATTTTCATAGAGAACCATCCCCCTTACAAACCTCCAACATCAACCCTGAACAGTGAACCCTGACATCCAGTCAGCTAGGAGAATTCCTTGCTGACGTTTTTTACTGTCCGGGCTTAGATGATCATCAAATTGTTTTTAAATCCGTTTCAGGCACCGTATACCCTGATTATTCAAGGAGTCTAGGACTATAATATTGGTAGCTATAACCATGAACCCCTGATAAACCTCGTTTCCATTTTGTGTTCCATTGTCTTTTCCACTTGATTCTCCCCGGGGAGTATCCCTAAGCCCCAGACCCTAGACCCTAAACCCTGACCATAACGGTGGGACTTATTCAGGCTTCTGCATTAGCTTCATGCAACTGGACAAGGAAGACTTCCACCTTGCACCCTTCTGCAGATCAACGTCGGGATGGAGGACCCCACACCCCAAACCTGACCCGACTGCATAAGGGCAGAATGGCGAACAAGCCCAGAAGCCCAGATGAGATCAGCTTATGAACCCATGCAAAAATTAGGTTTAGGGCTTAAGGTTTAGGTTTTGAGGGTCAGGGCTTAGGGGTTCTTCCTCAAAAACACCCGTATTAAGGCCACTGTCGCTTCAAAGACGAACTGTATGCGGCTCCATATTCGTTACTGGGGGAGTACCCCTTTACCCTATGCCCTCGCTCCGCTAGGATCTTGCTTCTTCGTACAAGTAATGAAAATCCTGCGTGAGACAGATTATGCATGTAGTGCCAGAAATTGCTACTGCTTAGGGAGAGCGAGTCATGAAGGACTTTAGCCATCAGCAATGTCTCTCTGCGGTAGTCCGCGTAGCCCTATATCCCATGCCTTCATGCATTCATGGCCATAAAAACTAGACACCAAACCTGAACTTGAATTTGGAGCCCCTAACCGCACAAAATCTACATCCTAAATCTTAAGCCCTTCACCATGAACCATCAGCCCTAAACCCAAAACTGCGAAGAGTCAAAAGCACCCTAAACCAGACAATGCCCTTGCCACGCGGTTTAGGGTTTAGGGTTCACTCCACACAGCTTTTCGCACTGGTTGTTAGTAGGGCATGGAGGAATGGATTGCCTATAGTAGCCCCTCTAGAATGCCCAATGATTGCTTCCCCCTAATACGGATCCCCCTAATAGAAGAAGATACGGGTTCCCCAGAATTCCAAATTCTGAAATCTGCCCCCAAAACTGATTGTAAAAGGGCCAAGACTAACATGAGTTATGGCTCTGATCCTCCGAATTAGCGGAGGGACGACTCTGAAGGATTAGGGATCTCCTTGATTTCCTGGATGTTGTTTGTTTAATCTTTTTTCATGAAGGAACATAACATGTCAATGTGAGTTGAATTGGGTTTATCGCGATTTTGAATCGTTCGAAATAGTTCTGAAGAAGGTTTTAATGGGCTCGTTCATGCTTTTGAATTGATGTTAAACAGTTTTACTTAGGTCTTGATTAGATTTCTTAATTAGATTGAAAGTGCTTTTACTTTGATTGTTTTAGTTGCTGTTATTCCGGTTTGAACTTGATTCAATCGGCTTGCTGTTTCTTGGATTTAATCAATTTCTTCTTCGGTTTTAATTAGATTTCAATGGGATCCTAGTATACACCCCTGCCACTGTTCGGGTCGTACGATAACTCCCCCCGATGGGTCGCAGCATATACGTAAGGCAGGGGTTTGAATTTTTGGGGGAAAGGAAAAACCCTAAACCCTAAACCCTTTCCGTCAGCTTTTTCAATCAATCGGCTACACAAACGAGCCTGTGCATTAACGGACGTCTCAGGGGCACCTACGCGGCCAGCAGCCTACTAACATAACTGAGTGGTGTTTTTTTGGTAGTTGAACCTAGTAAGATTATATTCCTCATATAAAATCGTATACCCCAAAAGGAGGAGATAATCTTACTCTATATTGGGTACCATAGTATCCCCAAATAAAACACTACTGAAGTGGCTTTCCTAGCGCAGTACCCTGAATGGGGGATTTTTGGCCCCTAATAGTGGATACTTAGGCAAGTGTAGAGGGTAGGTGGAGGGTCTAGGTATCTTGGATGCTCAGCTGAAGCTACTGAATGCAATAGCTTTCCTCCTAAACCCTAAACCCTAAACCCTAAACCCTGGACCCTAAAACATGGACCCTAAACAACCCTATGAGCTGCTTAAGCCTGAAATGTAGCTAGACCACCCGGAGTTTCTCAAAACGGGTGTCCCTAGGCCCCAAAGGCCATAGAGGCTTTAGAAGGGGTAATATGAAGTTTTAGGTTGTAGAAGAATCATTCTACCCTTATATCCTCAGTAGATTTATAGGCAAAAACTGCTGATGGAGGAACCCCTGCACTACCTAAGTCCTATAGGTCCCAAGAATTCCAGAAAATCCGGTATCCTGGCTGTCTCTTTCAAAAGGACTGCATCTACAGGGCTCACGACTCACCTTTGTACTACCAAAAACCCCATTACACCCGAAAGCTGCGAGAACTCAGAGCTCGCGCCGGCCGTGGGCCTGGGCCGGTCCATGCGTTGCCAAGGATTTGAGGTTTACGACTTCAAGGTCCGGGGTTAGGGCTTGGGGCTTAGGCCTTGGGATGCAGGCTAGGGTTTAGGGTTTAGGGTTTAGGGTTTAGGGTTTAGGGTTTAGGGTTGGGGCTTGGTGCTTATGACTTGGGGTTTTACGGGTTCCGTTCAGGGTTTGAGGTTTATTCTTGCGGGTGTTGGGCTCTTCAGGTTCAGCTCTCCATTGCGGACTTTAAAGGTTTTTAGCCAATAGCTTCGGATGCTTGGGAGTTGAACGTAAGTAATGCAAGTACTCCTTGCCACAAGAAAGGACCCCAGCAAAGGAAAAGTATCATGGAGCTTCTCCGTGCTGCTGAGTGCGGACTGTTGCAATGGATAGAAGCCAGCTACTAGGAGATTTTCCTGCCCTGGGCTTCAGGGCTATGAGTATGGGATATGTCCCAACTGGGGTCACGTTTCTGGTTCGAAACTTAATCTTGCCGTGTTGGAGCTCTAAGCCCTACTAAACGGTGTTTGCCTATGTAGCTATCAGCAATATGTGCAGCCATCGGGGGCCACAGCTTTTTGCAGGGAATCCCAAATTCCGAACTCTGGACTCCAAACTCCATTGAGGCTTTAGGATTTGGCGTGCAAATTACAAGTAACAGGCTAAAGGCACCCTTGCTAATTGGAAACACTAGTCTTTTGGATGCCTCGCAGGTATGCCAACTTATCTTACTGGTGGCTAATAGGGACTAACTACGGGAAAATAATCCCTATACAATCGCCGTATCAAGTGTTCCCCTATTCTCTAGTAGCTCCCAGTAAGCTATGGGGCATACATGCAGGACCTCAAGTTTTGGAAATATCCATACGAGCTATAGTCTAAACTCCTAGTATCCCCTTAACAAGCCCTATGATACTCCCCTATATATCCCCCTTCAAGGAGTTTAGACTATACTTATATTGTAGTAATCAGAATGGCAACAAGTTCTATAACTTGCTAGCAGGGTGGAAGAGTAGGGGGTAGGGAGTATGTACGCGCTGTATCGCTTTAGGGTGCTAGGGTTTTAGGGCTTGAGGGTTTAGGGTTTTGGGGCTTTAGGGCTTTAGGGTGGGGTTTGTGAGGTACTGGCATTGATTCGGGTGACTCTCTAGGGGTCCCTCCTACTAAACCTTGACCCGCCTAACTGGGGCTACAAGGGTAAGGATGCTTGATCGAAAGAACCTTTCCTCAATCCACGCCAGATTGTTGCATTCCCTGACCCATAAGGGTCCAGATACCCAAGAACCTGCGGTTTAGGGTTTAGTCTTTAGGTTGCCCAAACCCTGCAGTATATAACTACTAGTACCAAAATCTAAAGTACCCAAGTACTGGAGCACATGGGCCCATTAAGCTGCTACTGCTAGTCCATAAATTGGTAGCTTCCCAAAATAGGGAATCCCAACATAAACCCCAAAATACTCTAACACTTTTTTGTGCCTTTTAATCCCCCATATATTTCTAGTTTCCGACCCCCCAAAACCCTAAACCCTAAATCCTAAACCCCAAACCCTAAACCCTAGAGCCTAAGCTCAGAGATGGCTGTCTTTCTCCTCTTCCACGCGCGCTGTGCAGAAAAGGCCGCTGCCGAAGCTATCTCTTCGACGAGCCCTGTCACGCAGAAGGGTTTTGGATTTACGTAGGGTTTAGGGTTTAGGCTTTAAGGTTTAGGGTTGAGGGTTTAGGGCTCAGGGTGTAGGGTGTAGGGTTTCGGGTTCAGGGTTACTCTGGGCACGAGGGTTCAGCGATTGAATTTACGATTCGGGGCTTCGTTCTTCTTTGCACCAGGGTTTAGGGATTGAATTTAGGCTTTGGATTATATTTCCTTCTAGGCCAGCGGACGTTTTCGGGTTTAGGATTTAGGGCTTTAATTTCTGCAGTAGCTAGTCCTACCAAGAAATAACCTCACACGAGCCTCAAGCTTCTAAGCTGAACGCTCAGAAAACAGGTGTCCTTTCAGATAGCGGGAAGGCGTAGGTGTTAAGGTTGGAGGTTTAGGCTTAGGACTTCGGGGTAAAGATGAATGGTTTAGGGTTTGGGGTTTAGGGTGTAGGGTTGAGCCTAACCAACCTAAGCCCTAAACCACACCTCAACCTTCACCCTTGAACTCTGGACCCGAAATTCTTCGAGATGGGAGAGAGGTATCCATCCTTACATAATGGGCACATAAATCAAGGCAGTCTTGGGTTTAGGCACAAGACAAAGCAACTCCGTGCCCCACACAGTCGAAAAGCTCCGGGCGTAAAGAACTTCTTCACCTGAATCTCAGATTTTGGAGATTGTGTGAGGAGAAGCTCCAACTGGAGCAAGAGGACAAGCAGTCAAGTCCCTCTAAAATCAAACCCGCCGCCACCGGACACACACTCCACAATCTGGGATATTCGGGGATACGAATACACTTTATTTTGAAGTGTCTAGTATCAGGGTTTGGGAGTCATAGTTGAGGGGTCCATGGATCCCTTCTCCGAACTGGAATCCCTAACCCAAGGGTTTAGGGATTAGGGCTTAAGGCCTAGGGTGTAAGGTTTAGGGCTTATACTAAATGAGCCCCTCCCCATCCTTCAAATCTCAGCCGTATATACACGGCAAAGGAACTATCTAAACAGACCACACTGCTAAACAAACCTCTACCCAAATCCCTCGACCACAGACTTACAATCTAGACTCTAGACACTGATCACTAAACCCTGACCTTAGGTTCTGCCCCCACCCATTGACAGTATTTGATAGGGATCATAGTAAGGACTCTGTTTAATCATATTACCATTATTATCCAACTGTTAATGAGTGGGCCAAATCCAACCCTAAATCCTAAATGAGTAGCGTTTTTTGGTGGTTGAACCTAGTAAGATTATGTTCCTTATATAAAAGACTATACCCCAACGGGGGGACAGAATCTTGCTCTATACTGGGTACCATAGTATCCCCAAATAAAATACTACTCAAATGATAAACCCTAAATCCTAAACCCTAAGTCCTAAATGACGCCTTGAGATTCTTGAGATGGTCCGGGATACCCCCAGCTTTTGGCAACATCACGAAGTCTTTCAACTTCTCGTCCTCGCTTTGGATTCGTGGGTTTGATACACCTCTAGACGCTCTTGAACCAAAAGTCTGAATGACACAGAAAAGCTAGTCCCTAGCAATTGGAGTAGAAAAGCTACTTGGTTGGCCTTTGGAACCCTTTGAAAAATATTAGTATACTGTAGGGTCTTTATGAAACCAATTCGGGAAAATATTTAAGTATCCCAAAGGCCATTCAGGCGACTTCGGGTCATGCAGGAATTTTCCTCAACCGCAGGCCGTTCTGGGCATCAAGGAGATTGTACGACGGCTCCTGGGGCCCCTACCGCGACTGATACAGCATTTTCTGGTTGCCAGATACGAAACCCTAAACGCTAAACCTAAACACCAAATCCCAAAAGGTCCTAGTTTTGGGGGGGGGGGTTGGGGTTATCAAAACCACCTTACCCTAAACCCGGAACACGATTTATGGGGTCCAAATTTGAGTTGGGGTTATCCAAAACCGCTTGCTCGTTCTGAGCTCTGGCTGTATACATGTCAAACATGTAGATAGTGGCTGTGCGACCAGGGCCTCTGTGCAATTTAGGGCTTTAGCAACAGGGATCCTAGACATGGGGACTGCCAAAACAAGGATAGCTAATTCTTGTTGAGCGTTTAGAGCAAGCGTCTAGGCTGAACTTGCTCCTCATCTACTCTACCTTTCCGCCTTGGCATTTCGTTTCAGCTTAACTCAGAACAAGAATCCTACACTAACATAGAACCCCATGAAGCGCTCCTTTTTAAATCATGATAGGCCCATGTGAGGGTCCCGAAGCCCTAAACCCCATGTGAGCTATAGTCGAAACTCCTAGTATCCCCCTTAATAACCCCTTTTATACTCCCCTAGATAATCCTCTACATAAAACCCCTTTAAAGGAGTTTAGACTCCAGCTCATGTTAACTTGGAGGGGTGTAGTAAGCCCTCTGGAGCCGAAACCCTTGGGTTTAGGGTTTCGGGTTTAAGCCTAGACCCCTAACCCTAAACCCTAGACATGCAGGGTCTTCCGACTTAGTAACTCCTCATATTCGGAGTTGTTACCCGTCTTTAAACTGGGGCAACCTAGATCAAGCCAGCTAGTTTAAGAAATATGTCTATCATCTCAGTTTTTACGTTAGAAGTAGCCACTACAGGGGCCTAAATATTTACCAATAACATTTTGAGGTCCATTTGAGGTATCATCTACTATAATTATACATGGAATCTGGAATCATAATATTCGTAATTATCCCTAAACCCTAAACCCTAAGGAATATGGAACCATACTATTGGTAATTATTGAGGCCCCTATATTACTACTACACCATGAACCACAAGGAGATCCACAGAGCCTTCTCATTCTTGGGGTAGAGGCTGACGAGTGCATCCGGATCATCTGGACACCGCGGCAGATGCTTGCCAGGTGTGCCATTCTCATCCTTGCCTGGCTTCTTCCACCGGGTTTAAGGTTTAGGGTTTATTAGGGTTTATACATTAGGGTTTATTAGGGTTTACTACTTAGGATTTACTATTAAAGGTTCAGTAGGGTTTCAGGGTTTAGGGTTTATTAGGGTTTCAGGGTCTAGGGTGTTTATTAGGGTTTAGGGTTTAGGACCCTGAAGCCTAAAACTTACACCCGGTTTCAAGCTGGCACCTATAGAAACCCGCTTGGCATGTAGCCCACAAGGTCTACTGCTACAGCAACTCCGTGGGAAACCACAAGCAGCCAACGAGAATCTCTGAAAGCCCCGCCCACCCCAAGTCGCTGACCCCTTATGCAAGTACAAAACCTGATCGCCCAACACCACCAAATACCTCAGCTGAGAGGTCATCTCTGTAGGGCATAATAATAATAGTAAGAGTAATAGCAAGGATGATAGTAATTGGTAATAGCAATAACAATTGTCTTAAGACATGATATCCGTAATAGTAACAGTAATAGAAACAGTATTTTGTTGATTCTACGAGCGTTGCCATGCTTCTGATTGTTGCGTCATATGCTATTCTTCTTGCTAGTTCTCTCGGCAGTTCTTGTTCCTCGTCCTGCCGCTACTGCTACAACTTGTCTCAGCGCATCTAGAAATACCTTGGTCACATACCCAGTGATCCCAACTCCACACCCATAGGCGTCGCCTTTGTAGCACATCCGGATGCATGTTCTCCGGCAGGTGTCTGGCGAGGGTTCGCCTTCAATGGCGTCAAAGGTCCTGTCTATGCCTTAGGATGCAGACTTCAGGCTTCCGAATTGTTTTTCGTGGGATTTAGGATTTAGGGCATGGCGAATAGTGTTATGGGTTAGTCCCTTACCTACACGAGGTACATAGCACACACAACACAACACACTGGGGACCCCGGTGAAGCTGCCTGAGTAGCGATACACGAGGGAGACGAAGAGGTATAACGGGGCTTAGAGGCGTATAGCCCTCTTCATAACTACCAAAGAACCGTCGAATAAACCCCGAAACCTTGAAGCTTGAATCCTAAACCCTAAGCCTGAGAGCCCCAAACCCCAAACCCAAAATCCTAAAAGCCTCACGCCGGTTAGAACCGTAATTTCGAGACACCGTTCTTGTGAAGCCTGGATTGCCACACATGTGCCTTGGATTTAAACACGGGTTTAGGGTTTAGGCATGGTACCAAATATTTTCTTTCCTGACCATTCCGTGCTGAACGCGTTTTAGCTCATGAGAGCATAACCTCCTTTTTGAAGTGCACTCTTTTATAAGCAGCCCCATACACTGCATGAAGGTGCCGATCCTCCATGAAGCACCTTGTATCTATAAACTGCTATATCATTCCAGCTTCCCTTTCATTTTCCATGTTGTTTCGAATTTCATTCTCCTTATTGGGGTGATATTTCGCTAAACCATGTATGTGCGCTGAATATCCCTACATAATCGCTGTATTTCCCTATGGAACCCCTATATAGCCGCTGATTTAGCATGTAACCCCTATTTAATGTGGCCGGGGATGCAGCACTTGTGGCATTCTTCTTCGCTCTTCTCACAGCAGCGCTGTTCCTTGGCTGGAATAATTTAGCGTTTCGGCTAAGAATTTAGGGCATCTCTTAGGTACTGCCCCCTGGATAATAACTCTAATATACTTATCCCCTATATGATAGACTCCGGGGTGGGGTGAGGTGCTTTTCGTGGGAGAAATGCAATCCGAAAAGCGCTGAGGCTTGGAAAGCTTGGACAGGGTGCTCAAACAAAGTGGCTAACCCATGCTCGGCAGCTATTCGGGGGCTGGACGGTGCATTGGGACGGTTTCCTTTGCAGAGAGAGGGACCACGAATTGCTGGGTCACTCGCTCTGAGCGCGCTTGGGCAGGGCATTCTGACAGGACGCTCGGACGGGGCGCTCGCATGCGTTGGGACAGGCGCTCCAACACAGAGTCCTTGAACAGGGCGCTTGAACAGGGTCCATCCACCGGAAGCAATTTCCCGAAGCTGTTGCCATACTGGTCCCCCCATTTGGTTGGCTGGTGCAGGATTTCCTCCATTAACAGCATGTCTCTACAAATTGCTGGTTGCTTGGAAAACAGAAAAGACATTTCTGCCCTGTTCGCGGTTACTTGGGCGGGAATCTCGGGATCGCTTAGACCCTAACACTAACGAGTAATTTCCATGTTCCTTTTCCACTCCCTAGAAAAACCCCTAAATCCAAGACCCTAAGCAGTGTAAAACCCTAAACCCTAAACCCTAAGCCCCAAATCCCAGATAACAGTTCCGTTTTTCTCCACTGCCTACTAACGACCAGCTCTTGACGAAGCTCCCCAGGCTTGAGCGCATAGCCACAAACCTGCCAAGGTTCAGGGTTTCGTGTTGAAGGTCTAGGGTCTAGGGGTTTAGGGTTTTGGACTTCAGGGCTTAGGATTCAGGGTCTGAAGCTTTGGGTTAAGTGTTTGAGGTTCAGGCTGTTGGGTCTGGGGCAAGGACTCAAGCACGAACAATGTCACGTGGCTCATGGCTTCAAAGTGGTTTAGGCCCTTAGCTCCTTCTGGCAAACACGGCTTCGGACTTCGGTTTTGGATTTGATCTCTTAGCTTGAGGGTGTAGGGCTTAGGGTTTAGGGTTTAGATCTTAAGCTTTTGGGAAGTCTTTTGCGATGTTTTGGGCAGGTGTTGTTCGAGATTCCGTTCCACCATGCTGGGTAGCAACTTGTGTTTGTCCGGGGATCGAAGGTCAAAACTGGGGTCTTGGGTTAGGATCTAGGCTTTACGGGTTTAGTTCTAGGTTTCAACCTTTGGCTGCAGTTCCTTGGAGGATTGGGTTTCCTTCTCAAACTTTCTGGCCCCCTGCCGGTTATAGATTATATTACGGCACGTAACATTTAGAGGTACCAAAATGGGAGCCCAATTTTGGGAACGACCCTAAACCCTAAACCCTAAACTCTAAGCTCTAAACCCCTAAAACCCTAAACCCTAAACCCTAAACCCCTAACTTTGGGAACGACCCACATAGGAAGCCCCATGGGCGCCTTGTTTTGCCTGAGGAGATGGCCATGCGGATCACGCGCATCCTGTCCCAGGTAGGCTCACTTAGGGCTTTAAGGTTTTTGGGTTTCAGGGGTGTAAGGTTTTAGGGTTTCAGCGGTTTAAGGTTTTAGGGTTTCAGGGTTTAGTTTTTACGGGTTTTAGGGCTTAGGGGGATAGAATATGGGGTATGTTGTAGTAATGGAAAAGAAAATGGAAACTACCTGGTTTAGGATTTAGGGTATAGACCCCCTTAAGTAGATAGAATGTGGGATATATGGGGATCTTATTGTAATATACCCAAAGCCATATTCTATTCTACTGAAGGGTGACTATAGGCTCACTTAGGGTTTGGGTTTGGGGTTTAGGGTTTCAGGGTTTTAGGGCTTTAGGGTTTTAGGGCTAGGGTTTAGGGCTTAGGGTTTTAGGGCTTTAGGGTTTAGGGTTGGTAGTTTAGGATTGGGTAAGTTGCATAAGTGGGGACGCCAGTAGTGACACCAAAAAACAATGATCCTTTAGGGGCTCTCAAGAAGGTCGCCCTATTTCTTGGAGGAAGCCCCTAAACATTATTTAGGATTTGGGGTACAGGATCAGCTAACCCTGTATCCCGGTCCGCTGCTCTTGGCACAGGACCTCAACTAGCGCTACAAAGAACAGTTGCAAGTGCACCAGCGATGAACTTCACTAGTTCCTGGTAGCCTAATAAATGGACAAGGAAATCCTGTTATTCACCACATACCCATATTACGGTTGCTAAATTCGAATTCCTTAACTTACCCTGTTATTTGCTATATACCCATATTATGGTTACTTAGTTTAAGTTCCTTAACAGCAACTCAGTTTACCACCCCACAGGTCTGGATGAACAACTGGAGACACAAGAGGTCTTATGAAATATGCATGCGAGCTACAGAGAATGTACTGTACTCAGACAATAAAGCACATGGGACTGACCCTGTCAGGAACGAGGTCTGCGGTAGTTTTTTAAAGTTTTGGGTATGTAGAGTTTTGGGTATGTAGGATTCCATGGAATGATTGTTAGGGTTTAGGGTTTAGCGTGTCGGTTTGGGGTGGACCCTGACTAATGATCCTGACTGGTTTGTAGCCCAGAGAGTCCCAGTTCCTGACCAGAACTGTTGAGCCCTGTGCTCCGAGCTGTGATTCTAGGCCTCAACTTTTCCTGGGTGGAGAAGTTTGGAGACTCCATGCTAGTCCTACCCACCCCAGAAGTCGAAGCAGACAAGCGCTGTACACTGAACCCCAAACCGCAACCTAAACCCCCCTAAACCCTAAACCCCCTAAACCCTAAACCCCCTAAACCCTAAACCCCCTAAACCCTAAGCCCTACAAACGCCATAAACCCTAAACCCCCTAAACCCTAAACCCCCTACACCCTAAGCCCTAAAAACGCCATAAACCCTAAACCCCCTAAATCCTCAAAACCTTGCGCCTCATCCTCGGCCTTGGGCCCAGGAGGAGGCAAGGGCGGCTTTGGCTGAACTCCTGCCGAAAGGATTGAGGTTTAGGGTTTAGGGTTTTACGGTTTAGGGCTTTAGGGTTTAGGGCTTTAGGGTTTAGGGGTTTTACGGTTTAGGGCTTTAGGTTTAGGGCTTTAGGGTTTAGGGTTGTAGGGTTGTAGGGCTTAGGGTTGTAGGGTTTAGGGTTATAGGGTTTAGGGTTGTAGGGTTGAGGGTTTTAGGCTTTTAGGTTATAGAGTTCAGGGGATTTAGGCTTAGGGTTTAGGGTTTAGGCTTAGGGTCTAGGCTTTAGGCTTGACCTTTTGGGGCTCAGGGCTGGGGTTTGGGTTGAGGTTTCGGTTTTAGGGCTAAGGGTTTGGGGCTTGGGGAATCACACTCCAGCCAAACCCAGCCACCCGCCTTTCAGCTTCCGACCTTTGAAGAGGAAAGCGCTGTAGTCAGCATGAAGCATTGAACGGCGGCCTCACGGATCAGGCTCTGATGGTTAAACGCTAAACCCTAAGCCCCTTAGGGCTTGGGCCTCGGCATAAGGATAAAGGTGGCAGGGCACGCTCCCGCGAACTGACATGGAACTCGGCGCTACGAAGCCAGCCATGCTGTTAAACAACAGTGTGTTGGAAGGAATTTATTTTTGAGGTTCCACGTCAGCTGGGGGGAGGGTAGAGCCCCCGTGGCTGAAACTAGGATTCAGGCTTGGGGCTTGTGACCCAGCGTTTGAGGTGCTACAACTTTGACCTACATGCTTTCAGCATCTCGGATGAGATATACTCCTTACGGAAGAGCTCTGTAGCATAGTAAGGTGGAAGTAGTGTAGGGCCCTATTTCAATTTTGCTGGAATAAGGTTTTGGCGGTATACCATGTTTACATTTGCAAGAGGACGAAGAGGAGAAAACGCCGCGCATTATTCACACTTGTGCGATACTTGTCCTTTCAGTGCTTCCCTAAACCCTAAACCCCATAATAGCTTCCATTTTCTTTTCCATTATCCCTATAAGGCTTAATTTGTACCCCTATCAATTGAGGTGTATGTCGCATCTTCAGAAACAAAAACTAGAAGCCAAATCCTTCAAGACTCAAGGAATTCAGGGGTTGTCAAGATTGTCATCACTTTCGGAGTCCCCAAAAGAAGCCGACACCCAATAGCTGGGACCACCCCGCCCCCACCCAACCCCCCCCCAGACTGTTGACAACTGACCCTCCGGTTGCCCAGGGTTTAGGGTCGCAAGGATTCTGAGTCCCCAACCCCCACAATAAGCAGGCCTAACTCTTGGCTTGAATGGTCCTCTGGTCCTCATTGTGGAGGCTGAAGTTACACCAAAGTTCTCATATTATTCAAACCCAATGGGAAACCCAATATTCTGCCTGTATCCCACAAATGCTCCCTGCTGACAAAGTGCTGAAAATCGAAGTTGCTAAGCTTCAAATCCTGAACTCCAATCCCAAACAAACTATGGACACAAACCTGCTACAATAAAGCCTAAACCCTAATCCAGAATAAACCCTAAACCCTAAATCCAGAAGCCTTGAAGAAACCTTGAAAGCCTTAAAACGAATCTAGACCTGAACCCCGGAGCCATGCTCCAATGCAAAAAACCTAAACCCTAAACACTAAAACCCTAAACCCTAGAACCCCTACTTGCCTTGGCATCCTAGGGGCCAGTCTTCTGGCAAGGCCGGACTTTGCAGCCTCCTCTTCAATGACACGTGGTTTAGGGTTTAGGGTTTCGGGCTTGGGGTTTAGAGTTTAGGGTTTAGGCTGGGGTTGGGGGTTGGGAGTTGAAGATTCGCACTGTTTGTCCAAGGTATGGTATAGGGTTCGCAGTTCGCAGTTTAGGGCGCAGAGGGCTTCGAGTGGGTATGACAACGCGCTTCCAGATTATGAGAACCAATTAGCTTAAAACAAGGTTAGCTGTCAGATGCAAGTACAAGAAGTCCAAGTTGCAGCAACCCTTCTAGGAGGTTCATCGGACTCAGATTAGGAACCCTAGGAAGCATTTAACTATAGGCATTTATCTTCTTTACAATAAGAACCCCTACCTCAATATCTGAACGCTGAGGTTTCAAATGCTCCCTAATCCCCCTAATCAGACTACAGCAATACCCCAGGCCCTAGACCCTAAAGACGCATTGGACGACTCTTTAGGGAGTCCGCATTCTTGGTTTGAGGTGATCGAGCCCCTGAGGTCCATCTGTATGAGTTGCGGTCAGCATGTCTTCAAGAGTTCTTCAAAAAACAAAAAAGCGGAGTACGTTTTGGGAATTGTTTCGGGATGTGCCAAATTACTATGAACAATCCTAGGGCCTTCCCCCCACAGCCAGCATAGAGTAATCCCTGTAATCCCATGTGTAGCCCCAGTTTCCACATAATTTCCATTTTCCCATTTGATTCTCCACACACTCTACTCCTTGTTGTAGGGACTCCTACGAAGTGGTTGCTAACTTTTGGAAAGTGCCACGTTCTTGCTGCTCATTTTGAGTAAACCATATAAATTTTCTTTTTAAATCCTGAAGTTTTAGCCTCAAGCCTCAACTCAAAGCCCGGAACACTGATAGGCCCTAAACCTGAACCCTAAACCCTGAGTTTAGGGTGTAGCGCTTAGGGTGTAGAGTTAACCCCTACAACACACACCCCAAGGACCAGACCCAATCCTCCGGGCAGTTGCTGTGGCAGACGCCGTTTCCTCAAGGCGGGAACACCGCTTGGGGCGTTTCAGTGTTAATAGGGGCTGGGTGGTACTTGGTTTAGGCATATGTACCTAAACTCTAGGAGCTACGGTAGAATCATGTATTCAGGGTCATGCAGCGATGCAGGGTCATGCAGGGCTTTGTCCATCAACAATATCGGAGCGTTTTTTTTTCAAAACTTCTTTGCATAAACTTTGAGCGGACCCCCAAGATATGTTCTCCCAGCCTGGAAAACAAACCTCAAAAACATTAAACAAGTGCTTCAATGCTACGATGTCAATCTGTTTGTCTTGTGCTACATCACATGTGGATTCCCAGGATCCCTGCTCTGAGGTTCATTGGGCATAGCAAGTACTTATAACTGGACTATAACCCGAATGAAATCCCGCTACCTCACCTTACGTTCCACAAACCGGGTCTACGTGGGGCTAGAGCCTTACTTATAGCTAGTTATTGAGTCCAACGAACCCTAGATCCCAATCATAACACCTGTGCCCAAAAGCCCAAACCTAAACCCTAGCCATCTAAACCCCAAACCCTAAACGCTAGCCGCCCAAACAGCCCCAAGCTCTAAGTCCCATGAAACTCAAAGTAGCGTACATGAATGTTTCTCCTAATAGTCCCTACATAATCATAGTGATCTCCATCATCCCTTTACTTTACAACCCCTATATAGCCGTGGGGTCCCTAAAGTGCCCGGCTTTGCTGGCAAAACCCTAAACCTACACCTTAGTTCCTAAACCCTGAACCCTAGGGTTGAGGATTTAGGTTGCGCGGCTTAGCGTTTAGGAATTTGGGTTTAGGATATCTACGGCTTAAGTCCTAGACCCTCAATCCTAAACCCTAAATCCTAAACCCTACATCCTAAACCCTACATCCTAAACCCTGACTCCCAACCCTAAACCCTAAATCCTAAACCCTAAACCCTGAACCCTAAATCCTAACCCTAAACCCTGAACCCTAAATCCTAAATCCTAAACCCTGACTCCTAAACCCTAAACCCTGAACCCTAAACCCTAAATCCTAAACCCTAAACCTTAAGGCCCGAAACCCTAAAACCTGAACCCTAAATCCTAAGCCTAAATCCTAAGCCCTAAACCCTCTCCTACATCACCCCGTGCTGCCTCTGCATCCCAGGGCGACCATGAACCGGCGAGCCGGGGAGCCATGGTTTGCTTGGGATATGATGGGGTTTAGGGTTTAGGATTTAGGGTTTAGGGTTTAGGTTTTAGGGTTTAGGCTTTAGGGGTTTAGGGGTTTGGGGTTCAGGGCTTAGGTTCCAAGGTTTGGGGTTTAGGGCTTTGGCTTCAGGATTTAGGGTTGAGGGTTTGGGGGCTTAGGTTTTTAGAGTCTCAGGGTCATAACCTAATTAAATCTTTACATAGACTTCACGTATGGGGTTAATCATATATGGGCATATGTACGGGTATCTAATGTGTGGAGTAAATATAACCCTGTGTATATTCAGGGTTCGAGGTTTTGGGGTTGGGGTTGAGGGCTCAGGGTTAAGGGCTTGAGGCTTTGGATTTATGGTGAAAGAATCTAGGGAAAGGATTCAGGGATTCAGGGATTCAGGTTTATTGGTTACGATTGAGGGGCTAAGGTGCAAAGTTGAGCCAAGTAACGCAATTCCAGAGACATATACCCTAAGCCCTAAGCCCTCACGCTTAAACCCTAAGTATACAGAAGACCTTCGTTTCCAGAAAGTATAGCTTAAGTTGGACCAGAGAACTCTTTGGAGCTGAAGGTAGGCTACGTCATCAACGGGTATTGGGCTCTGTGCCTACTTGACATTCAAAAGACTTAGTAAGTAGGTTACGAAAAGGATTGTAAGGCCCTAAGAAAGTTGGGCTTGCCTGTAGCCACCTTCATAACCCTGAAACTCTAGGCAAAGCTTTCTCGCAACTGTATCGGAGGTATGTGGCTCCACCTTAGAGGTTTGGCAAGGTTTGCTCTGAGCAACTCACCACAAACTCCCCGGTTTAGGGTTTGGGTTAGACCCTCCTAGGAATAACTCTCAAAACCCCCTGATATCATGGCACTGTATTGGGGATGTCCATTGTCAGGGAGGGGGGATTACTACAACGGCCTAAATTCTTAACAATATCATGTTGAGGTCCGTTTGAGGTGCCATATACTATAACTATACATGGAATATGGAACCATAAT